TTTACTTACATATATAATGAAGTAAATATACATGCTGGAGAAAGAAACATCACAAAAGTCAGTCAATATTAAAAAAAAGTTATTTTTTTCTTTTCTTTTTGAAGAATATTTGTTTGAAGAGTCAATTTATATAAATGGACATCAAACAAATAACAAAACTTTGGCTATACAATTGCTATCATTAATTTCAATTTAGCACATTCTAGGAATTGAAGGGTATAAGCTGAAACCCCCTCATTTAGCTGCAGTCAAGCCAATATTGCAAGGGTATAATATTTTTTTCGTTGAAAAATATTAATTTTGAATCATTAGATTATGTGAAAGGTTTTTTTTTCTCGAACTCAACAAGAGAGATATTGATTTCTAATTGATAGTTTCTATAGCGATTTTCAAGCGTAACAAAAAGTATATTTTTTAAAAAAAATTGATATGACATGAAATATTTTTTTAAATGTAAACAAATTATTTCGAAAAAACTCTTTACTTTTTTCGACTTCAAAGATAATCAAAAGAAAAGATATTTTTTAACATTAGTAGAGAGTTTTTAAAATTATTATAATAGAAGTCATATTATGGATAAACTCAAAAAACCGAAATCTTATGGAATATTTACATAAATATTCGGCCTGATTTATTGTTTACTTTTTATAGCTAATATAAATAGATGATATACCGACAACACACGATTATACACATATTATATATAGATTATATATAAATTACACATCCTTCAATTTTTTTATTTAAGTGATCGGGGTGAGCACCTATTTAGGCTGATTAGATAAAGCCAAAAGAAAAATATGAAAGAATTTCAACCAAAGACTAAAAATATAAATAAAGTTCTTATTTAGATAATTTCTATTAAAACTCATCCTTTTATAGTGAAATTAATTAATTTTTTGTAACAAAAGAAATAATCACATAAAAATAAGATAAAAGAAAATAAATATTGAAAAAAAATGTATGAAACATCTAAAAACCAGAAATAAGAAATGAAAACGAATTTCTTCTTATGTTTCATAATTGTTGAGTATAAAAAATTTTGAAGCTAATCTCATCGATTTCAAATATTATTTTCAACTCAAATACATAGATTATAAGATAAGGATATCTTAGAATATATATTTTTTATTTACATTGTGTGTCGTTTTTAAAAAATCATAATTACTAACAAACTTATATGATATTCGAATTTGAATTTAAATGCAATTTGAGTAGTTTACATTGAGGTTAAGCCAAGTATGGTGTCGAAAAATAAACTATTTGGTAGTTTTAAAACAATATATGCAATGTTATATAATAACAACCAACTAATTTAACATTTAATGATTCAAAGAACAAAAATTTTGTACATTAAAAATTCAAAATCTATGGCTAGAGATATCGATAAACTTAAAATAGAGTCATACTGAAATAAAGTTTTTCCGGCAAAAGAATCATTTAAATTTTTAGATAGCCGATTAAAGTGAATTTTAAATTAAGGATAATATCTTCAGTTGCATCATTATAAAGATAATCATTATTGAAATATATATAAAGTTTTAAAAATTAAAATTTCAAAATAGAAATATTTTTTGAAAGATAATAACATACCAAATAAGAGTTCAAGTCGTAGTATAAGAGTCACGTCGTAATCAAAGAATCATTTATATTGTATCAACCTTTGTGCTTTGCCATAAATATGAGTTATTATTTCGCTTTGTGGCTATTTTTAGGTTCCAATGACATCAATGAGAATAGTGCTAAAATAAATTTATCACTATGAGATTTGACAAATTGTTAGTCTTTTTTATGTAGTGTTTCTTAATTAATATCTAACGATTATGTATAATTATTTAGAAGGTTTAAATTTTAAGGTTATTTACATATAATTCAAATAACTCAGATATTTAACATGGTTAATGTCAAATATCAAAATAGAGTCATAATGGAAAAAAATATTCACTGGCTAAAGAATTTTTTAAATTTTTAGATAGCCATCTAAAATTAAGGATAATATTTTCACTTACATTATTATAAAAATAATTATTATTGAAAAATAAAGTTTTAGAAATTGAAATTTTAAAAAAGAAATATTTTTTAAGAGATATCAACACACCAAATAAGAGTTCAAGTAGTAGTAAAAGCGTCAAGTCGTATCCAAAGAGTCATTCATAGTCTCAATATTTGATTATTTTGCCATAAATATGAGTTATTATTTTGCTTCCTGACTATTTGTAGGATCCAATGACACCGGCGAGAATGATATCAAAATAGAAAAATAGAAGAAATGATTAAACTTTTTCATGTAGTATTTTTTTTATTAATATTCAATTATTTTACCGAGAAAGTTTAAAATTTAAGATTATTTATATATAATCCAAATAACTTAAATATTTGACATGATTAGTATTCGCGCATCCGCGCGGGTGCTAATACTAATAATTATATAGACTATACCTTAATTTGGGAGAAAAATATACATTTCATGGAACCATAAAATGTTTAATGAAATCTGATACTATGTACGTTTCTAATTAGTTTCTATAAATAATTTGTTCAATTTGATTTATTTTGATGTCCTAAATATTAGAAATTCCTATTTAGTAGTTTAAATAAGAAAAATTTTAATAATCAAATTTTAGTTGACTTAAAAGTGCTAAATATTAGGGGAATAATTAAATGACTATATTATCCAGTGTAACCTCTACTTTTAAAGGGTAAAAAAGACGAATGACATTTCGCTAAGGGCCTTCGTGCTTTTAATATAGTATAGATATAGATTAACAAATTGAATTGTTTTGACATTTTTTAAAAATAAGAGGTATTTATATATACATTTTTGACTTTTTCTTTTTTGGAAAATTCTCAAGGGAAACCTGCGGCCGCTACCCTTCGGATATGCACTGGGTAACTAGTTCACCGAGCAATAACTTGCAAACCACACAGGAGATGCAAATTACACTAGGTAAGTCCGGTGCAATGAGCTCTGGCTGAGGAGGATGGTGGTGGGGGAAATCGATGTAGATCTCCCATGTGGGAAACCACTCACCCAACCAACTCAGTCAACCCTTGCGGACCATTTTTTTCATTTTTACTGCTCCAATTAATGGAGTAATAAAATAAGTGAGACATTTAACATAGAGATAAATGGTATTCTAGAAAAATAATCTTATGATTAGACTATTAAACATTATTTTAAAGGATCATGTGCAAAAACTTTAAAAATACGGATAATATGTACCGGAGACACTACTTCATTTACTTTCTCATGGTACAGATGCCATAATTTCCGAAATCAAAGTGGTTACATATTGACTTTTTATTTAAGTGTAAGGTCCAAATTAGCCACACAAAAAAACAAAAGAAAAGGTCCAGAACTCAGATTTTCTCAAACATTTTTCGAAGTTCCTTTACAAATTAAAAAGAAAAAACTTAAGAACGGAATTATTTTACTGCAGGTGATCATGGTGTCCAGCACGCAATTGTGAGATGACAATGATTCCATTCGAAATAATTGATCGAGAAATAGTGTAGCACTTTTTTTGTATTTCCAATTCCTGACAAGGGTCCTAATTAAGGCTGCTAAATTTTCTTCGCTTTTTTATTGGAAGTGCTAACAAGTAACAACTGCATGCAAGTCTACACTATCCTTTCTCACTGATTATTACCCTCTTCGTTTCAATTTATTGGCAAAATTTGAATAGGCGCGAGATTAAGAAAGAAAGAAATATTTTTAAAATAACTTGTGGTTATAAATGTGTCAAAATATGCATTTGTGTGTTAATAAAAAAATTGAAATTTATTATCTTAAACATTTCATAATATTTGTGTGACTAAATCTTCTCGTTAAGAATAAAAAGAGAAGTTTAAATTAAATTTATAAATATCCTCAATTATTTTCAAGGTGATCGGATTAAGTCACTTGTAATTAATTTTTAAATAATCTATAATGTTAAGACTTTTTACTATCAATGAAATCAATTTGAGGGTGGAACTGAGGTAAAATTCGACATAAATAAAGACAGAGACATACAGACAGACATATCCAATAGCCCCCTACAAACTTTAAAAACTCCAAACAAAGAAACAAAACCCTTTGTCTCCCCTTTACACTTCACATACAAACAAAATCTCCCTCCCTTATCAGATACGTTCTGGAAATAATTTTCTGCCCTAAACCTTGGAGTCTTGTACTTGTCCCATATTCTAGGTCATATATGATTTCATATTCTTGAATATGGAGGTTTTTCCACATAAAGTTTTTTTTAGAGCACAAATAATGCCAAAAAATCTTTATGTTTCAAAAACTACCTCAAACTTTCACATTTTTTTCCAACTTGAATACTATTTTTCCTTCCAACTTCAAATGAAATATTGTAATTGATGGAATGAATCTCACATCGGCCCAGAACTTATAAGGCTCGGACAATTCTCTTCCTTCGAACTAGTTTTTAAGATGTGAATTAGGCCCAAACTTATTTAATATGGTATCAAAACCGGACCCATTGTCAATGTGGGCCCCAGAAGAGGGGGCGGAATGCCCCTGACCAATTGAAGGGGGCACGGGGTGTGAAAAATACCCTCAGTCCATGATTGTGCATGCCCCATACCGGACAATGGAACCCCAAATAAAGAATATTTGAATCTGGGGTGATGAATGGAATGAATCCTACATCGGGCCGGGATGAGATCCCTGGTCTCCTTATAAGGCTTGGGTAATCCTACTTTCTTCGAGCTAGCTTTTGGGGCGCGAGTTAGGCCCAAACTTATTTAACATATTGTGCATTGATAGCTGAAAAATTATTCACTCCTATTGAACATCAAATTCCTAAAATATTTTAGGATATGTAAAAGTCTAATCCATATATCTTTAGAACATTTTGAAGTTGTAAATTTTTAGTTGCTTAAAATTTTCCTTGCAAACTTGGATTATTCAAATTGTTCTATATCAACTTATAACCTAAAAGTGTAAAAAAAAAAAAAAAAGAATCTTGCAAACTCAGTGTACATAACATTAATTCAGATAACATAATAGATTATATACATATCTATTAGATTTGCCTCTGTTATCAAGGAATAGAAGAGGGGAGCAAGCAAAGAGATCTTAAACAAAATTAACTAAATGTTCTTGAATTAACGATTACTCCAGTAAACATGAATATTAACTATCCTTCTTTCTCTTAACCCCCCCATTGTGCTGTCAAACACCAACCCTCTGCAACCACTACCACCAACTATCCCCTCTTTTCATTTCCATCTTTCAAAGTAGAATTGCAAAAAGGACATAATAAGGAGTAATACATTGTCATTGTCAATAATATTAGCGAGGGCTGCCAACAGCATAATCCACAAAAACTCTGCTTAAAGATGTCAATCTCATTTGCTGTTCTTGAACTCTGCTTTTCTTAAACAAAGGCAAAAATTGATCACGAGGTGAATAAGTGGATGGAATAGAGGAAGAAGTTTGCAAATCCCATGATTCATTTGAGTTTTCAGAGCTGTAAAATGTATCAATAACAGCACTTGGGCTATTTATTGGACTCTCATACTTGCGCTTGTGTGAAATAGAGTTGTAAGACACCTCTGTTATAAGTTCATAGCAATCATTCACCTTCTCCTGTGTACAAATAGTAAATGGTTCCACTTAATTCCCAAAGTATACTTGACCATTTAGTACTTGTTTCATTCTTATCTTAAGTCATAACCAAGGAGGATGAAACTTGAAAGAATATTACTAGTACTTCATACTCATATTATCTGTCAAAGAGTTTTGTACCCCTTTTAAAAGAAATATCATCACAAGAATAATTGTCTAGACTATCTAATTTCTCTTAAACGTCTCACTTAATTAACACTCCACTAATTGGAGCAATAACAATGCATTTGGAGAAAACAGTAATAAAAACTTCTAGAAATGACGCTTCATGGACCTTCTTTAAATCATTGTGTATAGTATTTTGATCCCCTTAAGAAGAGTTTTGGAAAAATAGTCTCGCATCATAATTCTATTTTGAAGAATCCCAAATTTTAATGATCACCAGAATTTTGAAGTACGTTCTGACGATTATCAGAATTTTCCGTCAGGATTTATGGCAAAATCCTAATGATCACCGCCTGCAATCGGGAAAAACCTCGCCTGTGTGTTTTAAAATTTTGATACGTATATAACTTTTTTCTCTAACTTCTGTTTCTGAAGTCAAAAAGTCAATAGTGGCACAAAAGTATCCTATTGTAATCATTCTCCCTAAATACTTCTTGTTTTCTAAAACATCAAATATTATGATACAAAATCGAATAGTAAACAAAAAGTACTAGCATAAAAAATAGAGGAAGACAAACCTTGCTAATGTTGAGAACCTCAAGAAGTTGATTTTGGTAGTCAGCAGCATTACAAGGCTCAACTTGATGAATAACGTGAAGCATAGTAGCAGTAGCCAATACAGAAGGCATATAACTTAAGAATCTACAATCTGTATTAACAAAAGATGTCAAAAAATCAAGAGAGGTTTCTTCTGTTACTTCCATTTACTTGTTATTATCGAAAGATTTAGTAATCTTTACCCAATGAAATTCAAGTATTCAACAACCGTTACAAAATAAAAAGAGTTCAATTAATTACCAGCTATGACCAAAAGAAGAATTCTCTCACACTGCTTGAGAAATTCCCAGTGTATATGGCTCTTTAGCCCAAGTCTTCTTATTATATGATCAACAAATGAAAGTGGGGTTACAGGATTCATCCTCCACTTTAAAGAGGACAATACCAAAAGCTCCATTCTTTGAATAGTTTTGGCCTCAAACACATATTTTGCATCCTCCACCTAATAATTAATCAAAAGAAACACAAGAATTATTTGTAGTGAAATTTTCAAGAAGATTGGTAACAACAACAACAACAAACTCAGTGTAATCCGATATTGGAGTTTGGGGGAGAATAGTAGGTTGTTTCCGGTAAGACTTTCGGCCCAAGGAACCGTAAAAACACAGCAACAACAATGTAACAAGATAACGAAAGCGAATGACACAGCAACAACTGACCAAGTGTAATCCCACAAGTGGAGTATGGAAAGGTAGAATATACGCACAGTGTAATCCCACAAGTTGGGTATGGGAAGGTAGAATATACGCAGACCTTACTCCTGCCTTCTTGAAGGCAGAGAAGCTGTTTCAGGAAGACTCATCGGCTTAGAAAAGATAAAAGGAAAGGCAACAACAAGTACACCAATTAGAAATTCGAAGCAAAAATACAAAGATACAAATTGTAATTAGAAGCCAAAGCAACATAATCACACAAGTGCAAATGACACAACATGTAATAATAAAGAACCAATAATAAGAGAATACAAAAATAGTACTAGCACTACGGATAAGCGTGGGAGAAACTCAAGATTGGCAAGTAAAGCAAAAATGGGATAGAAAGAGTAAATTACTTGGAAGTCCAAAAGAAGAGGAACTTGAGTTTCTTCAACTTTAGCAGCCAAAGAAAGACAAGTAACAGCTACAAGTTGAATCATCCAAGGCTTATCTTTCTGAAAATGAAGACTTGAAAGAAACCTATCAAAGTAATTAATAGCAAGAATAGCAGTGAATGTTGAGAATCCATAATGAGCATTTACTTTAAGAATCCATTTCACAGCTTCTTTACGAGATAAACAAAGTAAAGGGTCTGTTTTAATAGTTTCAAAGTTGGAAATTGTTTCTTTTTCTTTTGTGAAAAGAGAGAGTAGCTCTTCATCTTCCCAAAACAAGTCTTGTTCTAGTAAAGGCAGAGGAAGTGGTAGTGTTGCTTCTTTTTCTAAAATCTCATCTTCAATTGTTTCTTCCCATCTTTCTTCTTCACAGTAAAGAGCATCTAAAAGGAAAGATTGGGTTTGGTCTTGATTATGCTCATTGTTTTGTATTCCCATCTTCTTTGAGAAAAGAAGAAAATGTGTTGCTTTCTCATTATATAAAACAGAAACCAAAAGAGTGATTCTTCTTGGGCATTTCCATGAATCTCTCTTTCTTGTCTCTATCTGGTTGTGTGAAGGAAGATTGAAGAAAGCAGAGAGAGAGAGAGAGAATGGATGTCACGCTTTGCACTATGTTATATAGGGGTTGATAGGTTGAGACTGAAAGGAGGAGATTTCGATGATTTTTGTTAGAGAGATTTAGTGGGGCGTTTGGACAGAAAAATTGTAAAATCCCGAAAAAAGTTGGAAAAAAAAAAATCCAAACCGAAAATGATATTTGAAAATTAAAGTCGTGATTGGACATGAATATAATTTTGAGGTATTTTTGAATTTTTTTTAAGTGATCTGAGTGAAAATTTTAAAAAATAATTTTTTGGAGTTTTTTAAATTTCAAAAAATTCCAAAATTCATCTTCAAGTGAAAATTAAAAATTTTACGATCAAACATTGATTTCGAAAAAAAATTAAAAAAAAAAATCATGATCAAACGAGCTCTTAGTTTCTACCTTTTCCTTTTTCCTTGGTATTGGAATGGTAGTAATAAATAGGCTGTGCAATCTAGTCAATGTTTAAAGATAAATTACTTAGGGTCGTTTGGTAAATGGGATAAGAATAATACTTTCGCACTAAAATTTGGGATTAATTTTATCTCGTGTTTGGTTTGTGATATTAGATAATTCGGGATAACTTTTATATTAAAATAGTAGGATTAATTATCCCATATAGAAGGTGGGATAACTAATCTCATGAAATATCATACCATTATACCAAACAACCTCTTAGGAATCGATTTGATTTAGAGATAAGTTATACTGTGATTAGTAATGCAATAATTAGTAATGTGACTGGTCAAAAAAAATTTAATTACATATTTTGAAAATCTTCATTTCAAGAATAAAAACCTGTCAGATTGTCTTTTAAGCATGCTTTTAAATTTCTATAATATTCATATTAGAGCCAAAGATTAGTAAATTATAACATTAAGACAAAGAATAACATGTGCATTATTTCAGTACTTATGATAGATACACTAATCAGTCTTGCTTAATTGAAATTCATTTTCAATCATCTGTGAATAAAAATTTTACTGCCACAATTTTTACTAATTTTTTAACCCCCACTATTTCTAGGATTAAATGAATTTACATTCATGAAAGAGAACATCACATCTATATTATATTAAAAGCACGAAGGCACTTAGCGAAATGTCGTTCGTCTTTTTTACCCTTTAAAAATAGATTTCATACTAGACAAAATAGTCATTTAAATTATTTTCCTAATATTTAGAATTAATCATTTTATTATCTCCCTAATATTTAGGAATTCAAAATTAATTCAACTTAATATTGAAACGATATGAAAAACCCTAAAAATAAGGTTAAGAGTTTTAGAATACAAGGACTACAACACATAATGAGTTAATTGAATACGTAAAGAAAGATTTTAAAAAGATTTGAATTTAAATGCAAGGAAAGATTTTAAATATAAAATAGCTAAAAACTCGATAGCTGAGCAATTGTCTGCTTTCTCCACAAATATGGTTCATATTGTCCACGGCTTTCTCCACAAATTTGTTCAGTCTGGTTTTGTTGGTCTTGAACGAAGCAATTGAAAACGATAGTTTTTATTATAATAGAAGAACTCTTTTATTTTACAAGTATCATTATAAAACTTATTTATTCTTCTACCTCTTTTATTTAATTTGATAAATAAAATTCTTGTGGACGAAAAGACCTATAAAATATGTAATCTTAGCAAATTAATTATGTCTGTTCCTAAAACTTCTAGGAATTAAGTTGCCTATTACAAGTTGAAATCATTGATAGATGCGCTACTGCTCCAACAATAGTCTTATATAAGAATAAATTGTTGACGAGCAAGCATTGTAAAAAGCTCAACATCAAATTTTAGAAATACTTTTTTAATGACACATAATAATTGAACGTAAAAAATATATAGATTAATATATTATGTGATTTTTTAAGTTTATACTTATTAAACTAAGGTTCACGCGTAAAGCGCGTACCTTATAACTAGTATTTATGAAAAGTACAAGGAAAAGGATTACGCTTCCATTGCTTGAGTTGGGCAAGGTAGAAACTACTTGATCTTTTCATGCTTGTTGAGATCTTCTATCTTGATATTTGTTACTGTAACCATTGAATTTCCTTAAAATTGTCGGAAAATACAAATACAGTTGAAAAAATAAAAAAAAAATCATTTTTTTCAAGCTGAGATGCAAATATCTATCTCTTTAAGCAAATTCAAGCACAATACGATAATATATTCACTAATTCAACAATAGCACCTCTCCTAAATACAACAACTCAAATTGAATAAAATCAACTCTACACTAGCTGTTAAGTCCAAAATTCCACCACAAAAACAAGAAGTAAAACTCTCTTTTTCACAACTAGACGCACTTTTGATGCACACCCCAACACTTTTTTCACACATCATCACAAGGTTAAAAAAAACTCTTTTTACACACTATAGTTGTAAAATTTCTCCTACAACAATAACAAAAACAACAAATTTAGTATAATTTTACAAATAGCCCATTTTAATTTTTATTTTTATTTTTACTAAATGTCTATTGAAAATAGCTCTTCTACCTTTACAATTATAAAAAATTCTTCTATAAGATAAATAAAAATGAAGTGGGGTAATGAAGTTATGAAAACTTGAGATTATGGCCCCTATCCTTTTTACACCAATTGCTGGATGAAAAGACGTTGCAACCTATCACCAACCCAAGCATAATATTTGCAAATTTTGCTTGACTATTTCTATATGATTTGGTCGAGGAAAATATGTATTTACAGGTCAAGATTAGTTGCTTTTTATTTTGATTTCCTTAAGTGATGGCCAGCCTAAACCAACTCATAAAATAAAATAAAACAGAATTTAGAGCCTGTTTGGCAAACTTCTAGTAGACAAAAAGTACTTTTTTCCCTCAAAAAATTATTTTTTAAAAAATTTAAACTGTTTAGCCAATACATAGAAGTACTTTTGGCCCGCACCAGAAGCAGTTTTTTTCTTTTTGGGAAGAAACAGAAAATTCTAGCTTCTTCCAAGAAGCATAAGCAAAAGTAGAAAATTAATTTATTCAAGACGAAATTATCCTCACCATAAATTTATATTTTTCAAATTATCCCTTACTAATTTAAGTTTTTTTTCAATTTTGTTTATAACTTTTACCTTGTTTTTTAAATTAAAGATATCATATACATGAATCATATTGTAACTTTCTAAATTCTTTATTGACTTTTCTTGTTTTTAATTTTTTATTCTCTGTGTAATGTCTTGTAATTTTCCAAATTATCTTCTTTTTTTACACTAAATCAAATTATCTACATCCTTCTTTGGATTATCAATTCTCTTCCTACAAATAATTGCTTATAATTTCTTCTGTTATATGCTATTAGTTACCGAATCTTTAAAACAGTTATTGAATCTAATTTGTGAGAATTATCTACAAATAGGTAATAAATTTACAATTGTATCACATAATCTATCTATTCTATATATTATTAAAAGGAGGAGAAAATACATCCACATTAAGCCAAATGGCAGCCTCACAATAGGCCACTTGGCAATTTAGGACAAAGTTAGTAAGGTTAGGTAATAATTAGTTTCTTTTTGAATTTAAATTTTAAAAATAAATAAATTATACATTATGATTATGTATTGTTAATAATTAGTTACTCCTTTTGAATTTGAATTTAAACATACTTGACTTTTTTTTACAATTTTTTTTATTTTTATGTATTTAAAATTATTTATATTTTACGCTCAATGCCATCTTTCAAGCTTGACACTCATAATCATCTAGTTATAACTATCATGGTTATACATAATTTCATCTGACGACATTCTTCTACCGATAAGAAATTCAACTATCATATTAATGAAGACATTACTGCAGGGATTGAGGAAGGAGATGGGCCTTCTGATATTTCTTTATAAATGCAAGGCAAGTCTTTTACTAATATGGAGGCGTTGTGTGATAGAAGTAGAGATGAAATTGTTGAAAAATATTATCATGTGTGATTGGCTTTACTTATTATTTCATGGTGGACTATTAATATATAGTAATTTGTGGAATAGACTTCTAATTCATACTTAATGATGTATTTTGATTATTCAAATCATTATGTGATAATAAGTAATTATACTATATAATATTATATGCTTTGGTATAACTATATATGTAAAATTGATTTAAATCTTTAATTAATATGTTTGATTACTTTATGCTTTACATTTTAATTAAATAAAATAAAAAATAATAAAAGTCTCTTACGATAAATATTTAAGTTTATTTTTCTCTTTAAAAGAATTATAAGACCTTGGCACTATCCTTTTTGGTAATTTGACAATCAAAAGCACTTTTTAAAAAGATTGGTCAAACACAATTTATTTATCAAATATTGCAAAAAATACTTCTTAAATGAATTGGCTAAGCACAAAATATTTTTTTTCTTTTCAAAAGCACTTATGAAAAAAGTACTTTTCAAAATAAACAGATTTTTAAGGTTAACCGGCTCTTAGTTAGTTGTGCAGCTGTTTTGTACTGTTAATTAAGGTAATAATGCATAATTAATTAAGTGGATGAATCTGTATCAATTCCAGTCAAATCACTAACATCCAAACGCACAAAACATCTAATTGCATCATTATTTTTTAAAAGTCAAAATTGGCCCACCTGCTTTAATTTTTGATATTTTAGTTCATTTTACTCCAAAATACCAGACCAAATCTCCTTTTTGGAAAAACATTCAATCATCTCTTCCACTTCCCAATCTTAGAACCCTATTTGGTGGATCTGGTTAATCATATTCTGGCTCGTGCTGTGTCAATTGGCCACAAATTATTTTATTGCTACCACTATTAATAATTCATGTTACCACCATTACATACTAAAGAATATCATATGTATCTCCGGTAAAATATGTAGACTTAACCCTACGGGATTGCCCAGTTGATTTGAAGTAGGATCTCCTCAATGCCTTATGGGTTGAGCCGGTACTTCTACTCAGAAACTACTTGTACTTCTATTCAGAAACATATTTTTACATTTTCTCTTTCTAAAAGCTTGGCCAAAACACTTTAATTTTGGGGAAAAAACACTTTTG